GTGTGTGTGTGTGTGTGTGTGTGTGTGTGTGTACATAATGCTTTAACAATGCTATTATTCTTTCAATGAAAGAGCTAAAGTAGCGTTGAAAATGTTTTTATTTTTGCCTTAGCTGTGAACGTGATCTGCATTTTGCTCTCTTTTGAACAGTTGCTTGTTAAACTGGTGCAGTCGGACTCATAAATGACATTGGGGTAAACACTTTATGTGTGAATAGAAACAATAAAGACTCCTCTGCTTGCCTAACTCATGAGATGATCATTGTTTGACAACAAAAAAATACATAAATAAAATGAAGATTTACAAAAATGTTCACCTTCATTTTTGTGGTTGCTCTTCATTTTGAGACTGCTCACCACTGAAGAAACTGATACCAATTGCTCTTGACTGGTGAAGCATGTTTGAGTCTGTAGCTCGAGACTGAGTGGACGGAGGGGTGGAGGCCAGGGCGAAGGTCAACCAAAAGGACTTCAGTAGTAGTACTAGTAGTTCTACGTGATTTATTAGCTTGTATGGTCACCTTTAGCAGCAATAACTTTACGTCATTGTTTTCTGCATGACTTTATCAGTCTCTTACAACCCTGTGGAAGAATTTTGCCCCACTCTGTACGCCACCACTGTACAATGTTGCTTCATTTCATTGAGGTTTGTGGGCATTTACTTATGCACATCTCTCTTAAGGTCCTGCCAAAGTATATCAATTTTACTATCTTGACTTTGACGGGGATGCTGATAGATTTGCTGAAAGGCTTGGGATCATGGTCCTAATGAGTTCCTCAGTTTTGACCAAGCTTTAGCTGTTGGACAGAAGGTCTAACATTTGCCACACATGACCCGTCCACCACTGTGCTTGCCAGTTTGCACAGATATCGCACAACAAATGTGGGGCTGTGCATTACCATCTCCACTTTGCTCTCATCTGTCCAAAAGGACATTGTTCCAGAAGCCTAGTGCATTTAACATTGTAACTGAAGCCGGTACACCTGGAACTCTTGGGGGGTTTGCAGTTTCTCTGAGTGTTGCCTTTTAGGGTGAATTTGATGGGAAGTGCACTTCTGGGAAGATTGACAGCTGCCGTGAATGTTTTCCACGCGTGAATAATCTTAAGCACATCTGAATGCTCCAAACCAGCAAAACTGACAAAAAAAACAACGATAATTTAATCAGTCCCTGTGGAGTGCACGCTCAGTTGATGTTTAATTCTTGGTTATGTTTCCTCCAGAAATATTCAGACATTTTTTTCCACATCAGACAAACTCGAGATCACTTAAAACATTAGCTATCGTACTCAACAGCGCGCGTGGGGTGAGGGGGGTTACTTGGGAGCAGAGGGTTGAGTATTACAATATGCGGGAGGAGTTTCCAAAACCCAGGCACACCATTGGCCCCGGGCCCCGAAGTGCTGCATATTTCACGCAGTGTGGAGCGAAGATAGCGTCCAAGCACAAGAAAGACAGTCAGTGAGGCCAGTCACCAGTCAGCTTCAGTGTTAGTGTCCGCAAAGAATGACGAGTACGGTAAGAAGCAAGTTTTAAACGCGTCTGTTTTTATCTTCTCTCGGGCCCGTCGACGCTTTTCTTTAAACCTTTCAAAGTTAGCGGCGACTATAAAATATATAATACCCAGAAGGAGACCGCCTGAAGGAAACCTGTAGCGATGTTCGCTTTTGTCTGCCTTCAAGCAGGGCTTGTTTTTGCTGTTAATTATGCAGGCAGGGGTGTCCTGTGGAGCCTGGCCGCCTTAAGCTGCTCAGACTTTGGCCTACTAAGAAAAACAGCGACTGTATGTAAGCCGCTGTTGCTTAATAGTTTTTCACCAGCCAGTGTTGGCAGGTCACAGCAGCCTGCAGAACAGAGCAGCGAGGAGATAACGACTTTTATGGTTTTAACTCGATAAACTTTGTGATTTAATAATTTAATTTGTCTCAGACCACTTTTCCAAAGTAACAATACGTCAGTTTTTCCTTACTGTTAAAATAAACAAAACTAGTGCTTGTATAAAAGGTTAATAAACAATTAACACATTAATGGGATAACTATAGGGATGCGCCCGTTGTAAAATAACAGTTCAAAATAACAGTGTGGTGAATAGTTGTTGTCCACATATATTATCTTTTACCCCCGCCCCCTCTTTTTTTTTTATTTTATATTTACCAAAGAAATAAAGAGTCTTACAAAACTACAGTCTGCTCTATAAGAATTATAGCATTTTTTAAAAATGTATTTATTTCTGTAGTTTTTGTCTGTTTTTTGTGAGCTTGCAGCTTTAATTCAAGGGTTTTAAGAAAGTTTTGCATTAAGTGCCTTTGGGTTTGAATTTAATAGCTAAAAAGCTGCTCTGCTGGTTTGACTATTTAAAGGACATCCCATTTATTTTTGCTTGAGATGCTTTTACCGTATGCTTTAGGTCATCATCCATTTGCAGTGTCCGATCAATTTTGCAGCACTTGACTTGAGTCCAAGGCGAGAGTGTAGCCCTGTACACTTAACAGATCATCCGGCTTCTTCAATCAGTACTTACATCATCAAGAAACACCAGTGATCCAGCTTCACTAGCAACCATACCATACCATACCATACCATACCATGCCATAATGTTACCGCCACCATGTTTGGCAGATGATGTGGTACGCCACGGATCATGTGCGCTTTTAACTTCTTAGTCATGCTTTGGTCTTACTGTCATTCTGGTACAAGGAAATCTTGGTTTAATATAAATACACGCGAACTTTCGGAAGTTGTTGTGATTGGCAGTTTATTATTTTTGCAAAATGAACCAGATTGTAGAGTTTTTTACTATGTGTCTGATAGATTTATTTCAGTTTACATTTAACTTCTGTAATAAAAATTCAAGTGAAAAGCTACAAAATGCAAATTCGCCAGTTGGAATCAATGCCGCATATTTTATTAGCTTTATGTGTTACGAAATACCAAGGGAACAACCTAACCTTGTCATGAAATTGCTTATCAGTCAACTGTCCAATTAATTTATAACCTCTGAAAATGGGACGCTGTGCATACAAATGGATATAATTCTTAAATGGGTAATGCAGTAAATTTGTTAGACCCCTTGAATTAAAGCAGAATGTCTACAGTATAAAAAATGTGGTGCTAATAAATCCGTATTCAAAACAATCTTGCTCTGTACCCACGTTACTGAGTTGGTAGATTAGTAGTGTTGTTGTTGTTTTCTATCCTGTTACAGATGTTCCAACATCATAACTTTGAGACTTTTAACATAAACCTTACTCCTTCCTTCAGTATAAAGATTCAGGCACTGCAAGCCTGAAGGATGAGGAGGAGTTTACGGATATATTGGAGGAGAGGAGACGTACAACTGATCTTGGCTATGCCCTGAGAACCTTTAACCCTCAACTGTACAAAGGAGCCCCATCCAGCTCCACTTCTGACCTCAAGAAAGCTGTACTGGAGTCCCAGTATCTGCGCTATATTGCCAAAGAGGTCAGTCATTTTATTTATTAAAAAAATATAGTTTTTACTGTTTTGTTGTCAAAATAGTCAGTTTTTCCTCCCCTACATTTTCCCTCTCAGATTGCCTTGGAGACGGGGTCATCCGTGGAGAAGGTGAGACAAGAGGCTCGTGGGATTTTGGAGGAAATGTCTCACAATCTGCAGCTGGGGTTTATCAGGCTGATGGCCTACACTTTCAATAAGGTGTTCAAGAGACTCTTCAGAAGCATCTATGTCAACATGGAAGGACTCAACATGGTCAGGACTCATCAGAAATCAATACACTTTAATCAGTTATTGGCTAGTTTGTTTCAACAGTAGCTCTTTAGAGGTCACACAACCATTCTGATAGATTTGCTTTACTATAGTATTTACTACTATTTACTATACAGAGAACCTTGGAAGTTAAAATTTTCTGTCACTGCAGCTGCAGCAAGCCATCCAGGAGAGTCCTGTGATCCTGATGCCCAATCACAGGAGTTATGTGGACTTCTTGATTGTCTCCTTCATCCTGTTCACCTACGACATCCCAATACCTGTCATAGCTGCAGGAATTCGCAAGTATCTATTTGAATTAAGACAACAAAGTGTTATTTAAATCATACTAATTATACACAACATTATATCCATTTTGATTGCATCGTAGCATCCAAATATTATTATTATTATTGTTTATTTTTTTGTTCCGACTCCTTCTCTTTAAAGCTCTTGCAAGCATGAAGGTTGTTGGAGAGATTCTGCGTCGCTCCGGAGCTTTCTTTATCCGAAGAGCAATCGGCTCTGACAAGCTGTACTGGGCGGTGCTGTCAGAATACGTCCGAACAATTGTCAGGGTAAGACAAGGACTTTTTAAAAGTATTCCTAAGTGCATCTTTGGCAGTCAGCTTCTGTATTTAACAATTAAAAGAAGAAGGCTTCCAACAGCTTAATGTGTTTTTTGTAGACAGGATGTGCTCCTTTGGAGTTTTATGTAGAGGGTTTCAGGAGTCGCACACTGAAGTCTGTGGTGCCAAAGCTTGGTAAGTGTCTAAATGTACACCTTTGTTGTTTTTGTTGCTGTTCCCCAGGATATCAAAGTGTGTGCATCTCATTATTTTGGACTTTTGGTTTTTTTTTAGGTTTTGTTGCTTTAATTTTATAGCAGTTAAGCATGATGACCTTTTTCTATGGTGGCCCGGGGAGGTCAAATGCACTGCAAGATAAGAAAACACCAGAAAAAAGAAAAATCCAGCACAAGCAGACAAAATACAACTGAATAAAACAAAGCAGAAATGGTGAAAAAACAAACAAAGAAAAAACAACCCACAACAGAATTTGAATAAAACAATTGAAGTAGGGAAAGAAAAA